AATATTTTATTTGCTTAAATTCATATGCAAATTTAGATATATTATTATACTGTATAATTTATACATGTTAAATAAAATATAAAACATTTATAATACTTAGCCTTTTTTATGATTTATAATTTTATAAATTTTTTTGATGAAATTATTACTAACTATATAGATGTTAAAAATATGATTTTCAAAATTACCATGTAACTGAACACTAGCTAAAATAATTATTAAACTATCTAATATTTAAAATGTAAATTAATCTACAATTTTATATACTAAACAATGTTTATACATTACATCATAAAATAGTTTTGTTACTGAAAAGATATTTTCAGTAATTTGAACTAGTATAAAACTAATTTTTCTAGAAATCAACATTTCAGCAGCTATATTTGAAATATTATGCATGCTAAGTACCCGGCACATACCTTAGTGATTTTCCAATATTATTGTAAATTATCCGGTATACTTTTCTACATTATCATTCCCATATGATTAATATGCTATAAACACAAGTGGTTAACATGGTTAGTCATGCAACAGTTATTTGCGCTAGTGAGTACTGTCAAAGTGCGCGTGAGATTTTATCTAGTACAATCTTGTTATTACTATATTTGGGTAAACAAATTATGGTATAATTTTCACATTAATAGGGGCTTATATAATACATTACAAAAGTGCCGTTTGTATGCAATATTATAAATATTTTTTGAGATAATAATGAATTTCATTATGAATTTCAAACGAATTTTTGTGTTAATTGACGTCAACTTAATATTATATAACCTTTTTTATTTCATTATATAAACTTTTAATCAATATATAAATAAAATAAAAGGAAGCCTATTGATTATCTATTGTGTAATACCTTGATAATAATCGGAGCCTTTTAATCAATTACTGTATATTGCCCTATTTACAATACTATTGTCTAATATTAATATACCCGCTTATTTTATTAATGAAATGCAATAGTGCAAAAAGGTTGCAGTAACCTGTGTCAATTATTTTGGAGCCTATTGTTTACAATCTATTTCCTTTCAGCCAGGCAATCTTAAGTCTAATTATGACACTGCATGGGGTAGTACAGTAGAAACACCCATATAATAAATTTACCAATAATGTGCAAATATGGGCTTAAACACCTTATATAGGTCCTAACCTAACCTAACCCTATACTGCATTGCATAGTGATTACTGTATATGTTTATTGAAATTTGATATACCAGCATATTTAAGTGTGTTTAAAATTGTAGTACATATTCTAAGATGTTCACTGTATGAGTTCATAATATGACTAATAATTATAGCAATATACTGTACAGTCTGTACATAAAGATATATTGATAATAATTTTCTAAGAATTGATAATAATTAATATCATTATACACAATTGCATTTCATAAATGCAATCAATGTTTTATATATTTTATATTAAATGCGTTATAATTACATAACAAAACTTTTCAATATACGAGTAGCTCATAGTTATAGTCTGCTAAACATTTCACACAATTTTATGTGTTAGAAATTTTACCAGTTATATTACATTAACACAAAATTTTTACAAGTATTTAATAGGAATTTTTATAACTAGTTATAACTAAATACTAATTAAAACTTTTAATTAAAGATATACTTATGGCTCATATAAGAGATGATGACTGTTCTCAGGACGGGTGTACAGTAGAGCACCGACACTACCCCACGTCCACGTCATATGATGAGAGGTCTATGAGCTCCGGTAGTATAGTGGGTGACAGACACCACCTGATGCCCACCATCACCGACCGGGTGTCCCATTCGATGCATAATATAATTAACGGAACTCTCGATTTAAAACGACGGAAACGTAAAGCCAATCCCATTCCCGCTGAGAATAAAGATGATTCGTAAGTGTATTAATAAATGAGTCTTGGTCATGTTAAATCAGTGAATTATTAAACCTACTACAAAATAAGATCTTATTTACGGTAGTCCAATATTTAATTTAAATAGAGGCTACATAAATGTTTAAGTGTTTGATAAGCTTATTACAGTTCGCTAAGTTAGCTTATTATCATTAGTTTATATCATCATTGAAATTGAAAAATTAGTTAACGAATATCAAGCAAAATTTATTTTTAACATAATTTTAAATACTCTAACTATTTACTGTGAATATAAATTAAGATGAGCAATTTGAAATTAAATATAATAAAAATGAGCTGATCGACTTTTTCCCAAATTAATAATGAATAAATATTTTTAGTTATTTAATATTATTCTTATATTTGTTTTACAGCTTAAATACAAAATATTATAATAATTTTGAATAAAGGGCAAATTGAATAAATAACCAATATAGATTATTTGAATAATACATTTAAAACACACTTAATTTAAGAAAGTACATTGCTTAAAATGAATTAATTGAATACAATTTCAATCATTTTGAACAGTTATTGGGAGCGTAGGAAACGTAACAACGAGTCGGCCAAACGGTCCCGTGAGGTGAGACGGGTCAAGGAGTACCAGTCAAACGCACGGCTTATGTATCTCGAGGAGGAAAACATTAAATTGAGGGCAGAAGTGAATACATTACGGGACGAAATTGGCAAATTGAGACAGATGCTACATTGCAATGGCTGCTCTAATCATTCATGATCATTTTTATATTTATATTATAGGCTGATACTATAGATACATACCATTGATTAATGCAATTACTTTTGAAATATTTATTACAAACATCCTTATTTAAATGCTTTTTATATAATATGTGAAAATAAATTTTGAAATATACAAAAACCTTCCACTTTGTTTTTTCCCATTTATTATTTTAAAATGTTTATTAAACTGTAATGAAAAGTATAATAATATTAATATCATTGTGTTCAGGGATAAATGATATACCGAATGATACCAAAAAAAACATTTGAAGTAATTGCTAAGATTTTCGGGTCAAAAATGGACCTATCGTTCAAAATAGTTTCCAGTGTTTTCTCATTGAAAACCATTACTTCAAATACTAATGATTTTTTGGTATCAATCGGTAGATCATTATAGTTACAGTTTAATTAACAGTTTAAGATAATAAATGGGTAAAAAGAAAGTGGATGGCTTTTGTATTCATTTTATAGTAATTAATTTTGTTTTTATAAGGTCATGGTTTTATAATCGGATAATAAATAAAAATTCCAATATTATTTATTTATTTAAAAAACACTTTACAATTTGGATAGAATTTAAAATTTGCTGGAATGGGTTTAAGCAAAGTTCTATAAATTTTAAATCATAAATTTTAGAAATAAAACTTATAATTACCTAAATTATATTATTAAACAATAGTCTATATAAATTTATGTGCTCGATAGTTTAGACCAGTAAGTTTCAAAAATAGGTAGCATTCACATTTAGTAATGCTATATGTATTACTATTTGTAATAATTTGTAATATGTGGAACTGGCTGGTTTAGACCAGTAATGGACTACGTTAACAGTAACAAAACTTTATACACGATAACATTAGTCAGTGTTGAGATTAATGTTAAAATGTTAAAAGTTTTGTCACTTATAGTGCGACCCAGATTGGTACATCCCCAGCCATCGAAGTCAATAC